AGATAAATGATTATCAAACAACGAAGACAACATAACTATTAATGTTTATCAAAAACTTACTTTTTTACGGGTCTAGTTGTGAAAATAATATTCTATGGGATTTAACATGCTTACCCTCAAAAAAATTAATTATAAATATAAATTGAAATTAGTTTTATTATATTTATATCCTAAAGGTAGAAGAAGGAAGAATACAAAAGAATAGTTATCAATTACGAAGTTGTATTTAAAAATTCAAAAAGATGGAGATACGAAAATTAAAAATTCAATTACAACTTCATATTGAAGAATATTCATCTTGTAACTATGATAATTTACATATTTCTCAACAAAAAAGATGAATATGCATGAAATTTTGAACAATACTAATAAATAAATGAGTAAGAAATCTTATAATTACAAATTGGTAATGAAAATTTTACATGTAAACTAACCTAATGTAGAATGCATGATCACAAACTTGAATGAAAGAAGGGAATATAAATAATGTTGTGTGAGTGTCTTTGATAGACTCTTCATTACCCCACTTATCTTACAAATTAAAATTGAAGGTTGTTAGACTCTTCATTACCCCCATTTAATTAGTACATGAATACATAATTGCATTAAGATCTTGATGCATGAATTTAAAAATAACTATTACTTAATATTTAATTAATTAAATAGATATTATTATTTAATTTATTTTAGGGGTAAGATAAGGGCAAAATGGTAATCTAACTTTGAGGTTAGGAGCTTCCCACTTTTAAATAATATATATATATATATAATAAGTCACAATGCAAATATTTTTATAGTATTTAGTTACATTGTAACTATCTTGTTAGCTTTCAACCAAAAGCTAACAAGATTTTTAGTTACATATTTATTATTTAGTTAAATAATAAATATGTCATTGTATGAGCTATTTATTACTCATTCCTTTTGAATTGTTAATCTGATTTTGATCTGACACATAGTTTACGAAAGTAAATTAGATTTTGAGAAAAAACATTAAGTGATACTTGAAGTTGTCCCAGATTTTCAAAAAGACACCTTAACTTTGCGTGCGTCCTATTACCCCACAAAACATTCAAAATCACAATAAATACACATTTTTTACACAATATTTCCACTTTGGACAAAAATATCCTTCGAATGTGCAATTTCTTAAAAACAAAAAGTCGGACCCATTATTGATGTATTGAAGGATGCTTTGGTAATTTCCTATGATGAATTCGTTTTGTTTGTTTCTTTTAAATTTATTTTACTATACTAAATAATTGTATAAAATATTATGAATCACGATAATTAATTACTTAAATATTTAAAAGATATAAAAATATATAAAAGATCTGATTGACTCTTCAAATTTTACCGGTGACACATAAATTGGGACAAATGAAATAATATATATTATTTAAAAATTTCTTAAAAAGTACTATAAATTACAGTAATTAACAGCTAGAAATATTTTGTTTAATTTTTTTTAAATAATTGTATAAAATATTATAAATCACAATAATTATTTACTTAAATATTCAAAAGATATAAAAATATGTAAAATATCTTATTAACTCTTCAAATTTTATCGGTGAGACATAAATTGGATAAATGAAATAATATATATTATTTGAAAATT